ATATCTTATTTACACGAGAATGGCATCTTACATAGAGACATCAAACCAGACAATTTATTGGTCTTTTCACTTGACGCAAATGAGAAGGTAAATGCTAAACTGACGGATTTTGGATCGTCGAGGAATATCAATTTGTTGATGACTAACATGACCTTCACAAAGGGTATTGGAACACCAAAGTTTATGGCACCAGAAGTGTTAAAACAAGAGAAGTACACAAAAGCAGCAGATGTGTATTCATTCGCTATTACTATGTACGAAACATTTTCATGGTTCGAGGCGTATAGAAAAGATCAGTTTAAGTTCCCTTGGAAAATAGCAGAGTTCATTAACCAAGAAAACAGACTGCCACGAATCGACCCGATTCAAGAAAACCAATTTGATGTCATTGAAGCATGTTGGAAACACAATCCAAAGAGTAGAATGGGAATTGAAGAAGTAGTGCAACGACTTCAGGAAATTGTTTAATATTTTCTTATTTAGTTTTTATTCATTTATTTCAACTTTATTCATAATTGAATTTTATTATATATTCAATTACAGTAATTCATTTGGTCTTTGTTATTTAATACACTCTTACAAGATTAAACGTGTTTTTATTACTTAGTTAACACTTAATTGGCAAAAAAGACATATTTTTGTCCGCCTTTTTGATTTTTTCTTATAGAATTTTAAATGATCTTTTAATTTACAACATAAACTATATTTACTATAATTGAACTATAAAAAAATAATATTAAGGTATTAAATAATTTTATAATATTTTTAATAGTCGTAATAAAAAACCTTCAATTATAAAAAAAATACATTTTCATAATAAATGTAAAAAACAAAGTCCACGACAACATGAATGAACTCTCTGACGCTGCCAAAGCCATTTTACGGCTTAATGACACGTTCGATGACATGTCGAATGGTATTGATTTGCAGACAGTTTTGGGTAAAAAAGAAAAATAATTTGTGGTTGAAGCGAAACAAAGAATATTTAACAGTCTGAGTCGTGATTTTAAAACAACAGTAAAGAAAGCTATAGTTTAATGTGGCTTACGGACTCAACAGGTTTCACAATTTGAAATAATGACGATTTGTGGGAATAATAACTTAAAGGGGAGAATGCAACAAATGCAGCAAATTTCAGGATTATTTGGACGTGTAAAATCGGGCGGACAAAAAGGTGTCCGTTCCGACTTCAACCGCCATTCAATTTTTTAAGCTAAGACTAGTTTAATTTTATAGGTTTTTTACTATTTTATTTAAATTTTTATAAAACATTATATTTTCGAATACTTTTGTTATTCTTGAACATCATTTCCCAAAAACGCATTTTGTATACTTTTTAAGTGTTAATACACCAATTATTATTTGTTATTTCTTGTGTTGGTAATAATATGTTAAATAATATATAACTAGTTTTAAATTTAAATAGCTATAAAGACACTACGTGGCAAAAATAAAAGGACTACAAATAATGGAGTTTTGATTCATTATTTTCTTAACTTCTTTGTATACAGTAAAAATTCTATCGGTGTGTGGAGTCATGAAAATGGTTTTCTTAAGGTGTGTAATTTTTTTTCTTTTCTTTTTAAATTTTTGGCAAAAAAACTAAAAAATAATGAAATTTGTAAAACTATCCACAATCTAGAAAAATGACAAAATGTATTTTTTTCTTTTTTTATGAAAAAAAACGCGACACGTGTAAACATAAAATAATATTGTGTATTTTTTTAATTTGTCTAATTGTTTAGAATAAGAACAACGCATTGTGTTTTTGTATAAACACATGGACTTTTGGTGCAGATTGGTTCTTGTCAATTTACAACTCAAGTACGTCTTTGACATCAGCCTCGATTGTTGCATTGTCTTCTGTTGATAACCTTGAAAAAATGTGCTTGTTCACTGTGTTATTACACAGTAGCAAGTTAGTGTCGATTTTTAGCCTCAATAGTCATCATCTTGTCGTCCTCCGCCTTGAACTATTTTGCGTGTGCAACCATCTTGTCTACCTGTTCCTTTGAGAGTCTTCTTTCCTGTTGTCTCGTTTTCAGCCGACACATTTAATATTCCATTTGCATTTGTGTCAAATGTGACTTCAACTGTGAGACTCCATGTGGTGCTAATAAGATACCAAACAACCCAAACTATCCAAGCAGGTTGCAGTGTGATGTCATAGATGCCTCGCCCTCAAAGACTTGGATGAGCACGTCAGGCTTATTGTCTGCATGTGTCGAAAATATCTGTGACTTCCTTGCTGAAATTGTTAAGTTTTGTGGTATCAATTCTGTCATCACACCAATCACAAGCGTTCTCTTGTGATTGGTGTGTGGAAGTCTGTGCATTTTTTATTATCATTGAAAGTTTAATTTTTTTTGAAGAGCATTTTCTGCTTTTCTTCTCTTATCTTTTTTGAATTTATTTCTGTTTGATAATTTTTCTCTTTTTAAGGTTTTATTACCAAGTCTTTACTCTTTTAAAATAAAAACAAATTTGCAATTGACATTATTTATGCGGGTTTTGGTGCCAAATATGTGGGAAATCATAATATTCTATCGGTGTGTAGGTCCCTTTTGATTGGTCAAAACCACACACCGATAGAGTCACACACCGATGGAATCAAACACCGATAGAATTTCTACTGTATTTATAATGGTTACTTCTATATTCTAAATATACATCTACTTTTAAAAATTTATTAGAACAAACCACTTTCAAATGATTCCAAACAATTGTTTTGTTTTAAATTTAACTACATTTTTACAACGAATAATACAAAAACAATTAATTATATTGTCGCTTGTCAATGGAATTTTAAATTTAAATTGAGCATTTTATTATGTTTTAATCATATTACAGAAATGGTCAAAAATTGTGTATTATTCACAGTTTGTTAAATTCAGTTGTAATGATAAAAATATAAAAAGTTCAACATTTGAAACAGTTTTTCTATTTTGGCAAAAAATATACACATTGTTATTCATAGAAAATAATTTGAATGACATAAATCCATTTAAAACTTGCTTTAAATCCATCCAATTTAAAACAAGTTTTTAGCCAAATTTATTTCGTTTTTAATGTCTTAGCCCAACAATTTTCATCTAATTTTTATATTTAAAATCATACAGAACAACTGTTTCTCAGCAGTGAAAATGTAAAAATATTTTTATAATTTTTGAAGAAAAAGTTGCTAATAAAATGAAAAAATTCAATACATTTTCTTAAATTCGTTGTAAAATGTTGTCTCACCCATCAACATGATTTTTTCAAAAGGATAAATATTGTTTCAAAATATTGGAATTGGTACAATATTATCAGACTAACTAAGATATAAAAAATGAAATACCTATAATTTAATAAAAAAATGAAACATAATCAATTTCTCATGACTGATCTATTTTTATTCGTTTTAATGAAAATAGTAGTTTTTAATTAATCAGACAAAACAGGAAAACCAAAAAGTTGGTTTTAATGTACAATTACATCATAGTTTTTGGTATTAAGCAAAGGAAATGAGCCGAGTTTTATGAAAAACAATAAAATTTTGTCGACCCACAATATTGACAACTTTATTATCTTTGTTCCTTCAACATTAGTGCAAATTGGATTTTTTTTGAAATTGTCTACTATTTAAAGATAAATAGTTAACTCCAAAATCAAAGAATATAACGATGTTTTGTGTTTTATTGCCTCTATTATTTATGTGTGTTGTAAATGCTCAAACAAATACTTTAAATTATGATAATACATTGGTTGAGCCATTGTGCATGCCCGACTTTATGGCTTTGAACTTGGGATCTTCTTTGTTAAAGTATACCATAGTTTCTGATTGTTATGCAGAGATACCTAATAGAAAATATTCAATAAAAGGAAACAACATTCTTTCATATTGTTTTATCGATGATTATTTTTTGAGAGTGAACAAAAACAACACTAAAGTATCGAGGTGTGGACAATGGCTCGAAGTGGTTGGACCAAGTCAAGTTTCTATTGTTTGTATGGTTTCTGGAAGTATTACTCCAGATGTCACTGAGGGTTCTCTGCCAGTTGGAGTACCATTTGTCGCCCTTCCAAAAGGACTTTATACAAAAGTATCAGGTGGGTTTTCTTTGGACGATGATGCATTTGTACAAGCCACTGTAGCAGAGACAGATTTCGACCTAAAAGTGAATCCAACACTTTGGGTGTTGAATAAAAGTGAGAGTGAAATTCGAATACAAGTCACCGACTGTAACAGACCATATCAGTTCATTGAAGTTGAAAAGATAAATTACAAACTGAGTAACGATGATACATTCACCTTACCACTAATCAAAAGAAAAACCAACATTAATTTAGTCTCTTTCAAAGATGAAAAACTAACTTTTGAAGATATCGAATTGGACAAAATTACAAGTACAGTGGCAAACGGCAAATATGATACAGTTCATCTTGGGAAATGCACTTTTGTTGCAGACAATATTATTTATTCCAAAACAGTGGCCAACAAAATACAACTCTCTGTGTGGTTGTTTTACAAATTGAGTGACTCGATAAAGGTTGAAACGATGAATAAAACTAATATGAAATTTGTTTCAGATGCAGGGAGTCGAAATACTTCCATAGTGATGTTGAACACATCTCCAATTATTATTCAACAACAGTTCAAAGAACTTATCTTGTCATTAAAAGCCAATTTTGATGTTCACTTTAAAGAGGTTTCTCTCTATTTAGTGAGAAGTGGTGATGATAACACGCTATATGGCTCTTCGACTACCATCAACAAAGAACTCAAATTCAAAACAACACAAAATGGTACTGATGTCACTCTCAGAGCTCTTTTTGATACAAAGAGTTGGGAATTTGGAAATACAATTACACTCACTTATGTAAGTGAACCAGGAGGAACTATTGAATTGATTGAAGCAATGTTTGATAAATCTGATACAATTAAAAAAGTAGTCGAGTGCAACTCAACAATTTTTGATTGTTTGAATACAGAATGTACAGTGACAAACATGTCGATTGATGAAGGAAGATTTATTTGGCAAAAAGGATGTGAACCTGTATGTGGTAACTGTAGAGATGGATATGTGTGTACCACCATGGGAAGATGTATTCACCAAGAAAATAACAACTTGAGAGAAGGAACTACAAGTGTGTTGTTCTTTCTTGTAATCCTATGTATTTTATTTGTAATTTGAGTATATGTCTTAATTATCATGTTAACCAATACATTTACAAATCAATAAAATATTAAAGAAACGACATAATAGATATGTTCAAAATAAAAAAATAACATTTAAACAACACGACTGATTTGATATGGATGTGAAATTGTAATTATCTGCATAAATAATATCAAAACCAATAGTGAGATTAAACAATAATTTCGAATATGTTTTATTCTATTAAAATTGTTATCTTAGAAGAAGGAATTAGAGTTAATAAATTGAATAATCTAAAAAACTAACTAAAAAGCATTTATCAAATAATCCCTCAAAGTATAAAACACAAAAAATATAAAAAACTGTTATTTGCGCACTTGGGTCTATTCCTCTTTCAATTCTTTATTCAAATTCTCGAAAATTGTTTTCAAGTGTTTGAGTCCATAAACAATTCCGTCTTCCATTTCACACTTCTCTTCGTCAAGAGAATACGACTTGGCAAAGTCGATGAACCTTAAGTCGTACTTTTGACTCTCCGGGGTAGCATCTGCGTCATAGACAAGAAGTACCGACGACCCAAAGAATTTGTAATTCATCGTTTCAAGCAGACTCAACAACTTATCGATCTGATTGATATAGAACGGGAGCATCTCTTTCCTGTACTTTGTCCCGTCATTAAAAAAGAGTTTAATATACTCGAATAATTGAGCTGATGTCTTCACTTCGTTTCTGCTCATATGTTTGTCGTATGAAATCAATTGCCCGCCTATCACTCGCTTCATCCCACAAAAACGGAGACCAAGTTCTAGTGTTGTTGTGAAGATTTTGACGTGTGTGCGGTACTCTATTTTCGCCGGATCGATTTCGGGGTCGTACTTGTGAGTCCCTATTTTTAAGTCGAGAACAAAAGGCCGTTGGTACCCATTCAGTAAATTCGCCATCTTAATGTACTCCTTTTCTCCAGACCCAAAGTTGTGTATTTCAGCGCCAAAATAGGGCGGGAAGAGTTGTGTGCTCAACCACTCCCTTTTCGTCTGCAATTTCTCGTAGAACTTTTTCTCCTTTAAATGAGTTCGTCTGAATAATCTAAATGATCTCAATACTCTTCATTTTCTATTCTTTGAACTTTTATAAAGTATTAATAAAAGAAGAACAAACACGTGGGAAAATAGAAGCTTTCAAAACTACACTCTTTTCATCGACAAAAGAGTGGACTTGGTCCATACAACACGCTTGTAAAAACTCGTGGTGGAATGGACTTTTTGTCTTAGAAGGAAAAACTCGAGCTGTCATCTTTACTGTTTTTTGGAGTTGGTCAAATCTTTCTTTTTATAATGTTTTCTACAAATACAAATTTAAACATCTTCAATTCTACAAACAGAAAATGATGCTATTGTTGAATAAAAAACCCTATTATTTATTTATTTACAAAATCCACTTTGAAAAACTATTTCTAGTTATTCTCAAATAAATATTTCTTATTGTTTATTATATTATTAACAATCATTTTTTTTATTGTTGCGATGATTGCAATTATGAATCTTTGTATGTGATAAATTATAGTAATTTTACTAATATTTATTGTTCGGTGTTTCTATTTTTAAGACTGTTTTTTTCCTTATAACATTTAGTAACAATTAAGTAGTAAAAATAATAATAAATAAACTATATCATATCTATAATGACAATCGAAAGTTGAGTTTTTACATTTAAGTATAAATAATTGATAATCTTTAGTTTTTCATGTTTTGCCCAATACTTCGGGATTGACAATTGAAAACTTTATTTAAAAACACGTCGTTAATCCATTAAACAACTATATATATACTATAATTAGTAACAATTACAATTAATAGTATTCAAATAGATTTTTTATTATTAAAACAAAATGAATTAAAAATGTATAGTATATATACTATAAAAAACAGTATAATACAAATAAACAAAATGTTATTAAAATGTTATTAGAAAACAACCACAAGACTTGAAATAACACTTTATTTAGAAGAGAAAGTGCTGTACTTCTTTGCTTTTTTTGCGTTCCAGGTCGTCGCATTAGCGTAAACCTCTGCGTCTTCATCACTTGACAAACTTGCGTCCATAGCTTCTTCCATGTCGTCAGCATAGTCTTTATAAACCTCTTGCATTGGTTGAGCGGAAGCCTCCTGAGCCATTCTAAACATACTCATGTTTTGTCGAGCGTTTTCAATTGAGTTTCTTCTTTTGTGGATTGCCGTTTGTTGGATGTAGTAAGTCTGTAAGACATCTCCGTCGACGACTTTGACTTCTTCCTTCTCTTCTGCGATTTCGACTGTTTTTGAGATGACTCGAATTCCCTTGAACCCATTCAATTTGGTGTATTTGATCTGCACTTGGACGGGGAAATTCTTCATCTCGCCAAAGGCTTTAGTCTCTTCTTCGCTTCTCATTGAATATTTGAACTGATATGTTGTGTCGTCATTCACGTTTCCGATGGAGACTTGTCTTCGACTTGGTTGTTCCGATTGGATGGAGTCATTGATATATACCGCGGGGTGTAAGTAGATACCAATCTCGACATCCGTTGCTATGACATTAGTCCCCAAAGCATCATTAAAGGCATCTGCGACTTGTTTTGGATCAACTACAAGAACACTTCCACCACACTCTACAGTACACGGAGAGATCCGTTTGAGGTTTGCGTCGCATCCTTTCAATGTATTGATATTAATGATCACCCCACTGCTCTTCGCGACTTGTCCTATTTTCTCATAAAAGGCTTTATTAACGTCGGGGTCCTCTTCTAAGTTACCTAATCCATTGTTCGCGGTTCCATCAGTGCAGAGAATAACTTTGCCATTCTTCTCTTTACCAGCTATGATAGTTGATATTAACAGCGCGGGACCTAAAGCAGTGGAACCTTGTTCTTCTAAGTCTTTTACTTTCTTTAATATTGCGTTTAAAGTTGTGCTCAGTGGACTTAATGTCACTTTCTCTTTGGCCAAATCGACTAAGCCGTCATAATCAGAGAGCAAATTGGACTTCACAATAATTGCATTGTGTGTGCAATCCCCAAGGATTTTGACGTCTTTTGAAAATTGGACTACACAGATCTTTTGATTTGGACTTTTTTCTTTCAAATTCTTCAGCTGTTGACACATCGCGTTTTTGACGACGTCAAGTCGAGTCAGTTGCACTCCATTATTCGTTAAGTCAACATTAATACTCATTGAGCCGGAAGTGTCAATACAATACACTATAGTGCCATTGTCCTCTGTTTTTTCAGAGTCCGTTTTAGTAATTGGAGCCTCTAAGACATAATCCAAAATGGGTGCATCGGGTATTTCTTCGGGAAGTATACCACTGACCGTATTTTTGGTGCTACAGAAATGACAAGTCCACTCGCCATCTTTGACGGTGTCTAAGTAAGACAATATACTTTGGCAATATTTGCATGTGATTGGATCACCTACGCGAATTGGAACTTCTTCGTTCAAAAACCCCAACTCAACAGACATAATGTTCGTGTCTAAAGAAGCAGGAGCTTCACATTTTGGAGCAGATGCCCCTGGTGGGGGTGGAACAGCTCCTCCTGGTGGTGGGGGTGGTGGAGGAGGGTAAGCACGAGAAAATTTTGCTTTGGAAGTTGCCGCTTTCAACATTTTGAATTATTGAGATTGAGGAACTATATATACTAGTTCTTGATGTTTTCGATGTATTTTAAGAATGACGTTTTTAAATGGTAAATTTAATAGTTATTTTTTATTATTATATTTAGTTTGTAATTTTAGAATTATTACTTGATTTAAAACTATGTTTTATAATAAATAATATTATACATATACATACTTTTGAGTTTTAAGTGTTTAGAATTAATAATGTGATAAAACTATTATGTTTGTAAGTTTCACATTAATTAAATAATACTTTACTAGTTTTATAGATTTTGTACACCACAAAGTCGGTGATTTTTAGCCCCGAAAAACAAAACAAAATCATTACACTAATGGTTGGGTATTGGTAACTCTTTGAGTTATATACCACTTTAAAAGCAGATATTATGTAATAAATTTGTTTCAACACACTATCATTGTAATTTCTTTAATATTGCACTTGTTAAGTTCTAAGTTTCGACACACATTTTCTATAAGATTTCAACCATAATTAAAAAATCAATTGTTACGTTTTAGTCTTTCTAGAGTCTTTAACCTTACAATGTCGGTAGAGTAATTAAAATAACATTTATTTTTAAACCATATGAAAAATATGAAAAAAAAACAAAAAAAACTTAAAAAATCAAGTGTGATTCACTGTTAACAAATTCTCGTAAATTGAGACTTTACGATATCAAAAATTGATTTGTATTGTTCTGATATGCAATTCAAACTTGTTTATATTTCAAATGATGCGTCGACATTATTAATTCAATGATATGATTTTTGTTTTTTTTTATTTTTTCGAATTTAGGAAATGTAATAAAAATAACAAGGGTGCCATTCTGAGATTTTTGGTATTTTGTTTTAGTTTTGTTATTCATCCACAATCCAAAGGTTAAACAAAAAACAAATACTTTTCATTTTTTTTTTCTGTTTTTTTGATAGCATACTTTTTGACAATAACAATCATACATAAATTGTTATAGATATTTTTCTTTTCATTTTGTTGCAAAACTTGTAAAACAAAGTATAAATGGATACTATTGTTTTTATCAGTTTTTTGTCTCCACGTACTCGGTTTTTGTGTTGAAACATCTTTTGTTTGGTAAGATAATTTGGCTATATTTTTGTTTAAATAACAAGGAAAAGTGTCGGAAAATGATATTACCAAAAAGAAAAAATACAAAAAAAAAAGTATTTATAAATGTAACGCAAAATGTTTACAAGATTTTGTACATATATTACCAGTTGACATTATTATAACAAAATAATAGTATTTTTAATCAATATTATTAAATTAAAACGATTATTTTATACCGGAGGCAAAAATGCCTCTATTATAATAGAATCATTCATTATTTCCCAAAAGTGATTTAACAACAAAAATATTTACCACTTAAACGGAACTGCTGTTTTTGTTTTTTTGAAGCAATTTTGTAGCAAAAAGAGTTATAAAAAGTTATTTAGTAATAGTACATTGTAGTGTCAACTGCAAAAGGTTACTTCTCTTGTTTTTCAGAGACACACTACAAACACATAGACCCTCGGTGGTACATAATCACCTTTCATCTCAGCAACCATTTCTTGTATGTCGGACATCTCTTACGAGCAAAAGAAAGCGCGAAACGCAGTGAAGGCGCGTGATTCGAAGCGCGGGAAGGACGTCACACGGGCATTATTAATTGTGTTGTACAACAGTTACATTGCGCCCGTCACGTGTTTTGTTTCGAAAAGACCTGCATCAAAGAAAGTCACAAAGGATCTTGAAGTTGAAAGAATCGAAGACAACAATTGGGACGCTATCGCTAAAGCAGCAGATGATGCCACCAACATCAGCACTAAGAAAAGAGTTAAAAAGGAATCGAGAAACAATTATCTTGCACAGTTCATGAAAGGAAGACTGGAGAAATGTGGCTTTGTGTTTTACTCAAAAAAGACAAAGAATGCTAAGATGAAGGTGCCCCTTGCCACTGTGTTACAATGTAAATACAACGACATTTTATACACCACAGACCTTGTGTACTTCATTGGTAAAAAGTACATTGAATATGCAAAGACACAAATCGAGTCGAAAATGTCTGTTGTTAGATTTCCTGTTGTCCAAAACTTCTTGGAAATTGAAAGGAGTTTATATGAAAACACAAGAAGCCAAGAGACTGAGCCAACACACTTTAGTCTGGTTCTGCAAACCAACACACCAACTTGTGACAATCTCAGTGACAATTGCTGTGCACATCCTTTCAACTTTTGCACCGCTGAGAACTCTCCATCTGTAGAGGAGAACGGCTTCATACAGCACTCTGGACTTTGATAAGATCTTTGCACAAATGATATATTGATTGATTATTACAAAATTACATTGTAAAATATAAAACAAGAAGAAGTGGGTAGTTAAATAAAAAGAACAAAAAAAGCAAACGATATTGATTGGAAAAATGGGTAGTCTTTTCTTGACAATTACTACTCTTTTTGTTTTGGGAATAAGTGAGTCATGTTATACTATCGACGAAGACCACTGTGTGAGTGACCAACTTGGCCTTTGCACTGGAAATTTGGTCATTGTAGAGGAAGACGTTGATTGTGTTGGTGTGAATGGATTTTGGGGGTCAACAATCACTTCAATCACTTTCACTTCCCCAGACAAAATTCGTATCAAAGACAGTGCATTCTATAACGCATTCTCTCTAAATAATTACTACTCCAATGGAACTGCTTCGTTGGGTCCATATGCGTTTGTGTCGACACAAATCAAAACATTTGATCTTGAAGGGGTCACTGACCTTCCAATGTACGCGTTTTATAGAAACACCAAATTGAAGGCCGTATACAACACAGACAGTCTTGTAAACATTTCGACAAGAGTTTTCAATCACTGTGCGTCACTTGACAGTTTTCCGTTTTCGCCATCTATCAAAAAAATATTGGCTTATGCATTTGCTGACACTGGATTTGTTCACCTCAAGTTCCCAATACGTCTATCTTCTTACTACGATGATATCTTTTATTGGTGCACCAAATTGGAGACTGCAGACTTGACAAGAGTGTATAGCATATTCGAACGATTCTTTGAAGGCAGCAAAAAGCTCAGAAAAGTAGTTGGGACAGAATCAATTCGAAGGGTTTATGCTGGTGCATTTAGTGGATGCACATCACTCAACGCACTCCACCTTTACTCATCAACAATGGCAATCAATTACGACTTCATAAACATCCCATTTCTTTTCTTCCATGGAACAACCGCACCCACCACGGTGGTAACTCTTAACACTAACTTGGTGGTCTATGTCGATGAAAAATATATAAAATCTACTTTTGGAAATTTGAATGTGACAAAAGCGCGCTGCGACAATGTGCATTACATCAACACGACCGCAACTGTTGATGGTGAAATCAACGGAGTGCAATGTTTAAGCTGCCCAAATGGGATGAACACCATCTCTGGGCTTGGCGAGACATGTGAGTTGAATGTGTCTATCTGCCTTGACACTGTGAGTCACTGCGACTTCTGTGAAGAAACTGGGAAGTGTGAGTACTGTGCTGACAACTACTTTTTAAATGTTATGACGTCCCAGTGCGTTGAAAAGTGTCCAGAGCGATTCTGGCAAACCGCAAGTCGCTGTGTCAATTGCATTGACAACTGTCAAATATGTGACGACACAGAGTCGTGTGAGTTGTGTGATGAAAACATGTATTTTAATAAAGAGAAAGGGGCTTGTGTCAATTGCCTTGACACAAACTGTAAATATTGTGACACAACGGGACGCTGCAATGAGTGTAATAAAAACTATCAGCTTATCATGCCTTACAAAGTCTGCATTCTCTGTGGAAACAATTGCGTTCGCTGCAGAGAGGACGGGACATGCATTGAGTGTGAACCAAACTATAAAATGCTTGACGAAACAAGAAGTTGTGTATATGAGAAATGTCCAGAGAGGTATTATGAGGCCGAGGGGTTGTGTAAAAGGTGTGACGAGAACTGTGCTGTCTGCGTCAAAAATGGTGAATGTGAAGAGTGCGTGAGTGGTGCTTATAAAGTCGACCGTCTTAACATTTGTTTAGAAAGTTGTCCACTAACAAAGTATTATATAGACGAAACTAACAAAGTGTGCATAGACTGCACACCAAATTGCAAAACGTGTAGTGAAATAAACGACATTGTGATGTGCTCAACGTGTGAAGATGGATTCAAGTTAATAGAGCCGAGACGATTATGTGTGAGTAAATGTCCTGTTGAAGAGTACTTTGAATTGGAAGGCACATGCAAACAATGTCCAACAAACTGTTTGCAATGCAAAGACGCACATTCATGTGAGTTGTGCAAGCGTGGACATTTCTATAACTCGACAAACAATGTGTGTGAAACTTGTGATGGTACTACAACTTGCTTAGAAAACAAACAAGTCAATATGAAACTTGAAAAAAGTCTGAGTTATAACAGAGAGTCTCCTTTTTATTATTGTTTATTGTTCTATCAATAATAAATCTATTTATTAACAATGTAATTTCTTAAAGTGTTTGTTATTCAATTGTTTCCTCTTCTCTTTTTAAGTACTTTCTGTAATTCAGTTTCTTCTGGTTGGTCTTGTAGATGAGGTTGGTGTTGTACTGTAGACGACTTTTTCAATGTGACGCCCCCAAAAGCAGATGTTGCCACTTTTGGTTGAACTGGTGCTTTGTTTTCATTGACATTTTCTTTGTGGACAACATGTTTGAGTGCCAAATTTTGTGTGTTATGAATTTTGTTCTGGAACTCTCCCATGAATTGTTGGTTTGGATTTGAGTATTTTCTTTTGTATGTTTCTTTGACCTCAGAGTCCTCAACAAACGATTGTTCTTCTTTTGGGACACCTTCTTCTCCTTTTGGTATATCTTCCTGTTGTACTTCTTTTTGTGGTTCAACATTTTCATTAGTACTGATTGTCACTTCTGGTGTTTCTTCTTTATATTGTTGTTCTGTGTTTTCAAGTTGTTTGTCATGTTCTTCTGGTTGGTCTATAACAGTTGTTTGTTGTTGGTCATTTTGAGAGCTTTGAACCTCTTGAGATGCACTTTCGTTGATACCATCTGTTTGTGCTTCTACTTTACCTTCTTCTGTTGGTTCGTCCTTCGCTACAGTACTTTCACTGTTTTGCTTTTCTTCAATTTTATCTGTTGGAAGTGGCGATGGTTCGAGTGAAAGTGGTTTGTTCTCACATGAAGCCGTTTCTATTTCTTCCGTCTTCATTGTTTTGTTGACAATAAGAAGTTCCTTCGTTGGTGGTTTTCTTCCACCTTTTCGAGTTGGTCTTCGCATGGATTTTGTTCTCGTTTCAGTTTCGGCGGTCTCAATGAATGTTTCCACAGACGTTTCTTTGGGTTCTTCAATAGCGACTTTTGTGATTGTGATCTCCGTATCCGTCACCTCCAAGTTTTTCAACTTTTCTAAATTCTGGAGTTTAACAAGCAACTCCTCTTGTTGTGATTTCAACTGATCTTTTTGTGAACGTCTTTGGTTTTGTGAGTTTAAAGGAATCGATTGAGCCTTTTGGCTCTCTTTCAATACAGCCTCTGTTGTTATTTTTTTCTCAGTACTTTCTTCGACGTTTTCAATGTGTTGTACTGAAATTGGAACTTCCTTTTGATAAGTTCCTTCAATATTTTCTTCGTGTTTTAAATCAGTTTGGACTTCATTCAAGTTTTTCTCTTTATCTTGTTTCTCTTCTATAACTAAACGTTCTTGTGTTGAACTTTCTTCTCCAACATGATCAAGGTGTTGTTCATCTTGTTGACTTTCTTCTTGATAATACTCTTCTCCGTATTGTTGTGGTGTGATTTCGTACTTCTGTTGGTCCTCTGGTGTGTCTTGAGTTTGTTGGTATTGTTCGTTCTGTTCGTCGTAATACTCTTCTTGTCCTTCTTGATTAACGTACTGTTGTTGTTCGTCGTTTCCATCATTTTCAGTGTATTGTTGTTGTTGATATTCTTCTTGTTGATTTTGATCGTTATACTGTTGGTCAGTTTCTTCATAGCACACGTCTTGTGTTTGACTTTCTTGAGTTTCTTGTTGTTGTACTTCACTTTGTTTTTCTTCTTTATTAAATCGTTTTGGTTTCGTTGGCAGAGGTGGTGGTTGTACATAGGAATATTCCTCTTCTTGTTGTTGGTCATATTGATCATAGTAATATTCCCCTGTTTGTTCGTCGTAATACCCTTCACCTTGTTGGTCATAATACTCTTCATTTTGATCATAGTACTCTTCGTCGTAGTTCAAGTAATTTTGGGTAGTATCGTTTTGTTCCACAGCATCGCCTTCTTTGTTTTCTCCACTTTGTTGTTGTTCGGTGTTTTGTTCTCCCGATTCGTACTCTGCGTAGTTTTGGTATTGATATTCCTTGTTATAATATTCGTCCTTTTCAAACTCTGCATTTTCATATCTTTTTTGATAAAAGGTGTCATCATATTCAACAAATTTGTTTGGCGTCAGCTCTTCATTAACACTTTCTGATGCTTTTTCAACAACGGGTGGTGGTATTGGTTTCTCTGCTTTTTCAGGCTCTTTTTTCCCTTTTTTCTTCTGTTGTTCCTTCAACCGCTTTGCTTCTTCTTTCTTCCTCCGCTCCTCCTCTTTCTTGAGTTGTTTGTCAATTTTGGAATTCTGTTTTTGTGGTATCTTCTTGAGCAATTCAGACATGTCAAGTTCCTCAAATTGAAACTCTTCTTTCTCGTCGAGCCCATTGGCGTACATCCCATAGATGAAATTGGTCAGCTCGTCCTTGTAATTCTCACCAATTTCCATTTTGAGGCTTTTCGCTAAATTAATCACCGCGACCATTTGATCTCCGTTCGCTCCGTAGTCGATCAAATACAGTGCGTCAAATGGCGTTTCGTGCATTCTTGAGAACGTCAGTAAGTCCTTTTCATCTTTCTTGTTAATCGTTTTCATCACAACAACTAATACAATTCCATTGAAAAATTCGGTCAACTCCGCTGCTATTTTCTTCACATCACTTGATGCAGCTTTAACAAACGCATCGTAGATCCCTTTCTTTGTTTCAGTAAAAATGATTTTGAAGTCGGTCGTTTTCAGTTCCCAGGCAGCAAGTGTTGTTAATGTTTTAAATCTTTCATCATAGAATTGTTTGTGGAATATTGTGAGTGCCTTTGTTGGGTTCAGTTTTACACATGGGAATGTCTTTTTCTGAAGTTGTGTCATCAATGCTAAAAATGGTTTAAAGTTGTGTTCAAACCCAAATAAAGATGGTGGGGTTTCTGTGTCAAATTTACTTGGAATGGACGATATGTAATTCCTCTGCATCGCAGAACATATTTCTATGAAATTTGAACGGAAAAGTGTTGGGAGTTCGATCAATTCATAATACGAGCAAAAGTTGTTGATTTGATTAATTGTTTTTTGGAACACAGCAAGACCGTCTTTATTTTTGTCTGGAGTGCCTATCGGTTATTAATGTTAAATACTACACCATATCCTCACAATTATATCGTTATTAAATAACAAACCATACACTACATATTCAAAAATATCGTCTTGTGGTGGGATAGGGAGTCTTCGAAATTTGAGACCTCTATAAATCGGACAAAACTCAGACAACGTTGTCAAGTGCGTCATCACAAGTTCTTCGTTGTATTTCATTACAATTTTGACTTTGAAAAAGACCGAATTATATTTTTCTACCATTTTTTTAAGAACTATCATACAGTGTTTTAAAAGTGTGGGGTCTTCACTTGTAATAAACTTTCTTTGGATGAATTGAAATGTTTCCCTTGGAATAGTCAACTCATCCTCTATATGATTCAATAAAGGTTCATTCTCCAGCAATACAACATGGAACGGATTTGTAACTTCGACAGATGAAACTTCAGCCATCTTATCACTCACTATTTTACAGTTCGAATTAAAAACTCCAAATTCAAAAAAACCGACAAGTTTTGTTCAGTGAATTTGAAAAATTTATTTTGAAGAAATATAATCTAATTTAAAGGTTTTAAACAAGCTAATATTTTTCATAGTTTCATTAAATTTCTAGATTTTTTTTGTAGTACTTATAGTTAAAAATATAGTTTTTTTTTCAATTCAAAATATTTATTTTTCTTATAGTTTTTGTTTTATTATTATTTTTAATTAATTTTAATTAATCTATTTACTATAATAATTTAATTATTAAACAAGTAACTTTTAATTAAAAATACAGTGTTAATACTTATGTGTCATTAAGAACCTTCTTGTCTACTATTTTAAATATCAGTAAAAAAAATTTTGAGGCTACAAGTTAATAATTTTGATTAATTATAGGTACTATAAATTAAAAATATATAATAAAATTATTATTATTTTATTTTCAAAATCAGCTGAGACAAGTTATGTCACAGAATCATATAAGTTGTTTTATTGAATTTATTGTGATTTGATGTTGAAAAATAAAACGATTAAATAATAAACAAAGTTTAGTGTTAGATATTTGTTGTTTTCAAATACATAAACATTTCTCGTGCCGTTTTTTGTGGTGAGATGCGAAGTGTGTAAAAAAACAATTGTATCCAATTGATGTAACGCTTTTTGGTATTTCTATATATTTTTAATTAGTACAACCCAGGAAACAATTATCACCAATTGTTTCAACACTTGATTGTATAATTACATTGCTCAGAGAATTGCATTTAAAAAAACACTTATTACCAATTATATTTACACTGGATGGTATAAATATATATATCTCAGATTGAAACATTTTTGAAAACAATGATCACCAATTATTATAACACTTGGAGGGATATGTATTGTACTTAATCTTTTACATCCTTAAAAACAATATTCCGCAATCGAAGTAACAGACATTGGAAGTATAATACTATTAAGAGTACTAAATTTATAGAAACAATCATGTTCTATTGACGTGGTCTGTGATGATAATATTACACTGGTGAGATTGGTACAACAATGAAAACGGTTATGACCAATTGATGTGACACTCGATGGTATATTAATATCACTAGGACTACAACATGCAAAGAAACAGAAATTGCCTATGTTTAAAACACTTGTAGGTAAATCTAAATGGCTCAGAGAAGTACATTCACCTAAACTAAAATGACCAAAGGATTTCACATGTAATGGTGTTGTTATGTTAATTAAACCACTACATTTAGAAAAACAACAGTTACTAATGCTTAAGATGTGTGGTGGTAGATATATGGTACTCAATTTCTTACATCTGTAAAAAATAGTAAATATGCAATGTGATGACACTATAAGGTATTGTTATTATGTTTATTTTTTTCATCCACTAAAACAAAATCCACCAATTAATGTGACACAAAATGAGATTTCTACACTGTTCATATTCTTACACTTTCCGAAACAATGATCTCCAATTTTTTTCACATATTTTAAAATAGCATTACCAAACTTTTTTCTGTCATTTTTTGTGAATGTCACATTTTTGAATATATATATAAATATAAAATTCTTATTCTTGTTCATATCAACTGTGGTATAACCAACATTGAACTATATTACAATCTCATAAAACTTTTTTCTACCAATAAAAAGTATCTCTTTATGTTCTGGACAATAATTATAATGCCATTTCCAAATGTTTCATCTTTCACGTTGAATAAATGAAGTGTTTCAACGTGTGGAAAATTAAATATGGTTTTGTGATTTAATGGAATTGGATTGTAATGAAACTTCTTCATATTGCAATAAAACTTTTTACACACAAACTCTAATATGATAAAGTCTCTGATTGTCTTTAAGTATTTCGAAACTATCATGCCATGATAACTGCAAAGTGTGACCATTTTTGGTTTAACAGTAAGTTTTGTTTTAAGTAAATACAAAGCAGTAATAAACATAAAACCTTATACGTTTTAAACACCAAACAACAAAAAGATTATATATTGTTATGTATTGTTATTTTTCTTGTTATAACAAATAATTATTAAATGTCATGTATGTGTTAATACCAGTTAAATAAAAGCTTTTATAACTTGTTTTTTTATAAATTATATATTAACAAAATAGTTATTTAAAATATATCTCTTCAAAACATAACATTGTTGTTTGTCGTTTCATTTCATGCCTCGGAAAAATTTGCTTTTCATAAAAAAAGACTGAAGAAACTGTTTTTTGCGGCAAAAAAATCGTTTTTAATAAAGCCATTTTTTGAAATAAGTAAAGAATCGGGACATTAGGTTATATTGAATTGTGATTCCAGAAGATTCGATTTAATTAAAACACATTCAACAAATTGTTTTCGATAAATTAACAATTTAAAAATATTTATCGATTTTTCATGTTTTATTAACACAATAAAAACAGAAACTAAATTAACGAAAAGATAAAATAAATATATAAATTTTATTAACATATTTATTTGTATAATTAACACACCGAAAAAAAGATAATTAATTAACGAAAAAAACAATTAACAATTTAAATTATTTATCGATTTTAATTGTAAAATTAACACAGTGAAAATTTACAAATAATTTAACGCAATATAATTATCATTTCAATAATTTTAACATTTTTACATGTTAAGTTAACAAACTAAAATGTAAATAATTAACGATATTTAAATAAAAAAAATGTTCATTTCAAATAAATTACAATGTACAATATCTGTTTGTAATTACAGAACGTTTACTGAATTGACAGAGCGAAATGTTTAAAACTACAATTAAACAAACAATATTTGAAAATTAAACAAATATGTTTTAATTAATTTTTTTTTCACAAAAATAACTTGTAATACAGTTAAAATATGTTTCAAAATGATGGGAAACAGTTTAAAATGACAGAATTTATTTTAAAAGGACAAGATTTTTAATAAAAAGGATGAAAATCATAAAAAGTGATTGAGAATTGTTTTAAAAAGAACAGGTATTTTTATTGAAAAGGACAGGAATTTATTATAAAAAGGATGGGATTTTTGTTAAAAGGACGCATTTCAATAAAATGTGACAGCCATTTTTTTGAAAAAGGATCGATTTTTTAATAAAATATAATTTATTTCTGAATTTTCCCGATTTTACACATAAAACACAAACAATTTAAAATTACAAATCTTTTCTTTCATATGCTTTTGCCCAAATATCATTGCGACATCTCTCCATAGACGCTATTACTTCAGCCGGTTGAATTGAAATAAGTCCATCTTTGATTTTTTCAAGAAGTTCGCAAAGGCCAGTCCAAATACGTATGTCATTTTCTACAAGCCTTTTCCAAAACCCAAATACAGTTTCGATTGGGTTGAGTTCAGGACTGTAAGCTGCATTATAAACAATTGAATGGTGAGTGTTAGTTACAAGTTTCCTCAAATGGTTGTGTATAGTACATTTGTCACACCGAACCACTGCTGAATTGTTGTTGTCGTTATAACTTTTTATCAATTCCATGAAATATCTACTGAAGACCTCTTCATCACTTTTTCCTGCAACCAAAAAAGTTGTTCCCATTCCTGTGTAGTTTATTGAACACAAAGCAGATAGTCTTTGTCCGTTTTTTGCCTTTGTCACGAAGAGTTTTTCACCAATTGGATTCCATCCGTAAACCGCAGTGCAAGCAATAAGCCACGAGAATTCATCAATGCAAACCCAGGTTTTTCCTGAGTGCATCTGACCAACCAATTCTTCGATCGCGGCGATTCTTTTCTCTTTGTTTTCGTTGGTGTTTGCAACTGGGCCTCGTGGAGTTTCCCTTTTGAAACTTAAAACGGGTAGAGTTCTATCCTCATCTATTCAAGTTTTTCCTTTCATGAAGTTTCTAATCGCGCTTATTGAAGGAATCATTTTGTCGATTGTATCCAATGCTTCTTGTGATATTCGAGTTGGAGAATTGTTGTTATACCCCAATTCAAATTGTTCTTGTGTAATTTCTGTGACTTCTTCAACTGTTGTTACATTGGCATTTACCAACACTTTTTGGATGTTTGATCGGATACAATTGAATGAAGATGTTGAGTCTTTTTCAATTAATTTCTTTACCAAATGCTGAAAAGGAATTACTCTGCTTTTTTTCTTGTAATGGTTTTTGGTAAAATTGAATTACCATTTCGAATTTGACTAACATATTTTTGACAGCCTTGATTTTAATACCAAGTTCTCCACTGTAAAACACATCATCTTTAGTATCCGCATTAACTATGAAAAATTTAATCATTTTGAATTTGTTTTGTATTGTTACTTTATGATAAGGTCTTTTGGCTTGGTTTATTGATTCTGACCGAGTTTTGGGTCTTCCCCTTTTTCTTTTAGTAGCTTGGGGAATGAAAGTGTTTTAGATTCAACCTGGCGCTGTTGTTCATTCCATTGGATAAGTGGTGGATTATCTATAAAATAATTCTTAGCTATTGGGTCTCTAGCGTCGATGAATGTCAAAGACTGAGACATTTAAATCAATTATTAAGATTGAGATCAAAATAATGTAAATCCTTTTTTATTTTAATTTGATTATTGATTTATACACTCATTTTTGAAACACATTTATGATATTTCAAATTGTTTGTGTTTTTATGTGTAAAATCGGGAAAATTCAGAAATAAATTATATTTTATTAAAAAATCTATCCTTTTTATTAAAAATCTTGTCCTTTTAAAATAAATTCTGTCATTTTAAACTGTTTCCCATCATTTTTAAACGTATTTTTACTGTGAATATTTAATTTATAATAAATTATAAATTAAAAATAAGATGATATTATGTGTATAATCAACATAAAAAGGTTATGGTCATTTTACAACATGGAATAAAAATCCATCACATTTAACAACTTTTCACTTATTTTAATATATCATTTGTGTTAAAAAACTAAAATTATAAACTTTTCATTTTTTAATGTTTAAATTTTTGTAGATACTCATTGATGTACAACATTGTAGTTTTATTATTTTATTTAATTATGAATTTTATTGTTAAAATAAAGTTATTGTAAAATGAGTAGCATTGGTTATTCAATTTGCCAAACAATGACGATATAAGTTGTTGATTTGTCTGGAATACAATACATGTTCACAAATTTGTTATAAAATACAAACAGTTTGAGAATAATGACATCAATAAAGAAATATGATTATTACATATTATGTATTTTAATGAACAATAAAAACACCAAACCAAAAAAAATATAAAACATTGTAACAGTCCATATGTTTCAAATAATAAACTGATAGAATTTTTCACTTTACTTTGTTTAAACATCAAAAACACAACATTAAATATAATTTTCTAAATATAAAAGGTAATATTTATTTAAGGAACAACAAATAGTATATTAATATATTATTTAAAACAGCTTATATTTTACATATATATTAAAAACAATAAACATAAAATTATGACTATTATATATTTGAACTTGATTTTTTTATAAAAAAAACATTTTGACATTTAAACAAAAGTTGGCAAATTCATTATTGATTCTAACTTCAAAACACAGTTGTCGTTTAAAAACACTTTTTGACAACATATCTACAACAGCATTGAAATATTTTTTTAAAAAACATAACTATAGGTTTTAATTTATGTTAATCCTTAGACTACAAAAAAAATGAATTTAATATCTTATGAACACATTTGAGTGAGTCGCAAATAAAAATATAAAAATGGTGTAAACAGTGATATTCAATAAATTTTAGTGTAATTATTTTATTTTTTTAGTTTGATGTTACATTTTAATGCACTGAAAAGTTAAAATTTTAATTTTTGGCAGTTATTTAAACATAAGTGTACCAATTAACAGTAAAACCCAATACACCAACTGTTGTTATCAAATTAATGAAAATTACAAATTAATAAATGCTTCCATTTATTGAAACTTTGAATAATCATAATAGTTGTTGTTTAATCAAAATATATGTGTTCACTTTTTGTGTTGTAATATGAAAAATAATAAAACGATTGTTAAAAAATAATTGAATTTAACATCTCTCTTGTGCATTATTATCAACAAAAATGTGTCAAATGAAAATTTAAGATAGAGAAGTAGTTACACAATGAATTGATAATTTCAGTTAATATTTGTTTTTTTTGTTTCAACAAATCGTCAATGCAAATACATAAAAATACAATCAATAATTGAAAATAACAATATCATTAACAGTCATTATTCAACAAAAAAAAATCAATTTAACAATTAAATTTGTATTAACAATTATGTATGTATATTATTAATATTTTTAAACTTTTAATCGTGTTGATAACTTTGTTGTGTGAATAATTGAAAACATTTTTAACTGACAATTGAATAATATACAAAATATTTAAAATATATTTTAATGATATCGAAATATAAATCAAAATATAACAGGAATGATCAATTAAAATTATTAATTTCGATTCGATTATAACTGAATATTTTTAATTGCATGTGTATTAAAGTAAAACGGACTGTTTTGAAAATTAGAAAATATAAAATTTGCAAACTTTTTTGTTGTTAATTGTGTGGCATCAATCTAAAACTGTTAGATTCGAAAACATTTTTAAATATCAATTATTCTTATTACCATTTAATTATCAAAAATGTGGATATTCGTATTATTAAGTATTTTATATAAACTGAATATCTCGACTATCTAGAAATAATAAACCATCATTGAATAATTAATTATTATTGGATTTCTTAAGAAAATATAGAAAATATAAATGTTGTGATTTTTTATATTGTTAATTGATATCTAATGTGCCTGTATTATTTAATGATAAATCATTTTATGTTTGATCAACAACAAACACTTTTAAACGTATGATATTAAAAAAACAGTAACAACTCGAATGTTTAGAAGAAAGTAAAAAATGCAACCAACAGTCAAGTAATTACATTTATTATATTTTATATAATTATATATATTTTACAA